ATGTCTGCTCTTTGTGACCCTGGAATGATGCTCCTGCATCCTTGTATGACAAAAGGCATCAGCCTCTGATAGCTAACTTTTCACTTTCATGTAAGTTCTGATGTTTAGTGGTTAATGACCACTGTAATTGGCCATCCTCGTCTTATGTAGTTGATGGTAGTCTGTAGTCCAGTGTCTACTGCAGTGGCAGTGAGCTTTAGGACAGTTAACTCAATCCAGTGCAGCACTTTCTCAAGTCAGGCATTGTCTTGTTCCATGGTTCTATTTTCTGGATGTGTAATTGCTGTGCAAGAAACTCAACACATGTGAAAAAACACTGTGAAAAAAATGGAGATGACATCAAGCAATGATCAGCTGATCCTGATTTTACTAAACAAAAAAAGGAAGATGTTTCTTCCTTTTTTAGGCAGCAGCAGTGATAATTTCATGGTTTAATTCAGGAGTTGAAGTAGTTGTATAAATCCTGACATAATTCAGGATATCAGAGGGACAGTCTGAGCTCTTGTTAGCAGAGTTGTGACCACATGTGAGGAGGAAGAGCGTTGGTCAGTCAACTCTATTGACTGACCAAGGTGTTTCGCCTTGTGGCCTTCATCAGGGTCATAGTAACAGTGTGCTTACGCTAAAAACAGGAAACAGAAAAAAATTCAAATTAACCAATCACATCTTCATGAATAGACCAGCTGACATATAACAGGTTAGTATTGGTTAACTGGTTAAGTCACGCCCAAGTAAATACTGGACTAGGTCATTAGTGATGAAGACGGGGGTGAGGAGACATAATTCCCACCTGTCTTAAAATACATGCAAGAAATACATAAAAGAATATTAGAAAATATGATTACAAAAAACATTTAACATTTTCAAAGGCAAGGCAAGGCAAGGCAAGTTTATTTGTATAGCACAATTCAACAACAAGGTGATTCAAAGTGCTTTACAGAGACATTAGAAACAAGAACAAATAAAAAGCATGATTTAAAATTGATTAAAACAAGCAAACTAACTAACTAACTAATTAACAAACAAACAAACAAACAAAACA